ACTATTTCGTGCTTAGTTCATCTCCGTGCAATGATATTTTTTTATATGAGTGTCGAAAAAGATCTGTAGGGGTAGAAACTTATTCCAAAAGTCGCTTTATCCTATCATCTATGATATTGCATGAAGTATGATCTGTAATGACAACCGTTTTGCTTTCAAAGCTTCTAGTTATTATGAGATTGAATAGCTTACAGTTTTGCTTGACAACTGATCATCAATGTAAACGATTCCAGGACATATGACATATCCTATTTCCTTTCGATTTTACCATCACACTGATATCGATACACCTCCTGCGTAATGACTTTCACTTTTATTCCAACACGATGAACCAATACAAAAAAAAAGATTGAAGTACAGATAGCAATTGAGGATGTATAGAGAACCGACGACTTTGTTTTCAAGAAAAGATGTCATATATATTTCTATACGACTCAGATTCTTGAGTTAAGCATCCCATTGTGATGACTCAAGGATTCCTGACTCAAGAAATAACGAAACAAACAATAGAAGGATGTAGTATCATGGACGAAGCCTATGACACTCTGCTATTCTATCTTCTTTCGATTTCCGTGAACAAAATAGCGCACGCGCCCTCTTTGTGCCCGAAAATAAAACTGATTTATCTGAAAATATTCAAATAAGTTGACTCTTTTTTTTAAATACAATGGCTTCGATCGAACTCGTTTCTCCTCCCTTTCGAAGTAAACAAAAATTGTCTACCATTACTAGGATATGATTAACCTCGACTGAAAGACGAGTCTACACGATGTTTATCTCGAATAATTGCTCTGCTTTTGGATTCTTTAAAGAGAGAAAAAGTAAATCATAACACTTATACCTTTTTAGCTTATTTGGCGTCCATAAATAATATCGAATATGTGCTTCTGAACTTGCCTCATCTCAAGCATTTTGAATTACATGGCAAAAACGTTGATGCCGATTTAGCTGATGGGCAACTGTGGGAAAATATCACTAGTTCACTTGTCACATTTAATTTAATTTTTCATTTGAGTCTTACTGAAGTAGAATCAGTTCTAGATAGTTTTAGAACTTGCTTTTGGAGCGAAAAACGTTGGTTCGTAGCTTACGAGAACGATCGTCTCTTCTCAGTACCACGCTTCGCTAATGAGTGTTGCATCGATAACTTTCAACGTCCTGTCTATTCAACAGCTTTTGATGATAAAATTTTTTCCGATAGCATCACTACGTTTGTACTGTCACAATCATTTGTTAATATACAACAACAACTTCCTCATGTCCGAACATTACAAATCGCTAGCGATGTTCACCCACACCCTCTTTCATCTTTTATTAATGTAAAGCAAGTGGAACATTTAATACTATCGTTTCCAATCCTACAGCCACTATCAAACGTCATTCATCTTCTAAACATGTCTGGTCTTCGAGAATTATCAATAATGACAAATCCATATCAGCTTCTAAAACAACTCAAAGGAACACAATTCAAAAATAACAGAGCATTGGCAATGCCCTCTGCATTTATATTTGATGATCAATACCCTATTGAACAGCTATGTTTCATTTTTCCATGTGTGCAACGTTTACGCATAGATTCAATTAACAAAGCAATGATGATCCGTATGATTGATGGATTTACGCATTTGTCAAATGCATCGTTCTGTCTTAAATCGTTGTCCAAACGAGATCAAAACGATTGGCAAGTGAAACCAGAATGGGCACTTTATGAAGCACAACGACTAAAATGTTCCACCTATACTTGTCGATATGAGAATTCATATCTACACGCATGGATCAGCGAACAAGTGAGTCAGCTGCAATAGAAAACACTTTTATTGTTATACTAATATTGTCATTTAGTCTCTACCCTCTTCCCGAGTATGGCATTGGCTGCAACAAAGAGATTACTGGTATTACAGAGTTCAATCGATTAGCGGACCGTTGGTTAATCCAATAATCGATTTTATTCATGCTTTCATTTCTATATCATTCCTTATAATGTTTTACTCATTTACGATTATTTACTTCAACTATGAGCTACCCTTTCTCATACATCTTTTAATATGTACTGTAATAATGGTACATAGTTCACAGTCAAAAACTTCTAAGAAATACTTCGTAATCATTATTTGTTTGGTGACCGTATGTGCCTATGATGTTATACAGTATTTGATCAATCATGATTGTTATTGTCTGGTATATTATCAGATAGGTCGCTCCTTTTGCGGAGACAATGAATCAGCTACAGCGAACTGGACTATGTTCTTATCGATAAATGATCTGAACTCCCACACATATATACGTTCCTATATCAAAGACACATTCGTTTGTGATTCTTCGTATTTTGTCTTTTCATACTTTGTAGGTATCATTACTTTTTCTGTCAAAACTGTCTTTTATATATTTCATCTTGTGTTCAATGACTTTCTCCGATTTCTCTATTTGATTGTATTTATAGGTAGCCTAAGACAGACGTAGAAATTAACTGAAAACAAGGTAACTGCAATTTTCTCTGTAAATATATCTGGTTGTATCGCCCTCATATCATCATTCTCTTAATAGTCTGGATATTTACAATCGAAATTCTGAAGGACATGACGTACGAATGTTCTCTTTTTGTCATGCTTTAGATTTCGAAATCGAACTTTCCAACGCGTTTGAATACTATTCATTTTACAAAACTTCCCCTGTACCTAAGGTCTAAGATGAATCAAATTAAAAAACGAAATTATTGAATATATCGAGTAATCTATCCTGTTCTCTTGTATTGTCTTCTAGGTAAAATCTACTTGCATTAAAAGAGTGTGGGTGTGGGTGTGGATGTGGCTCTAGCATGGGTGTGGCTAAAAAGATGACCAACACCCACACTCACTCCCGCGCTCACACCTACACCTCAGACCAACATCCGCCACGGCGACGGCTCAGTTGCACGGCTCACATCTCTAGTTAGTTCAAGTATTATTCTTCAGTTTCTGAGAAAAGCCAAAAAAGTTTACTTACTATAATTTTCTTTTTTTTATTCAGTTCTCATGAGACTTCTAGCTATTTTATTGGAGGAATTCAGTTGTCAAATTATTTTCTTTCCTTTGTTGTTTTCAATTATTTATTCTCATATTTGCACGTCATCGTCCGGGCAATCTAAATCGGTTGCTCCTATTTGATTGTTTTGTCTGTCATCATTCCGTTGTTGTAATTTATTGAGGGTGGGGTGCGTTTTGGGGTGGGC